AAAACTCACAAAGTGGAATTTTCAATTTTGCCGAAGCATTTTTTTTCTCAAACCTAACCACGAGTTCAAATCCCGAAATTTTTTTCTCTTACCATTCGGGATTTTGTCATCAGACAGAGAAGAGGCCTTTTTTTTTTTCTCTCTCTCTTTTCCTCGTCTGCTTCTAGTAGAGGTCGAACTCAGCACCTGGTCTGTATTTCAACAGTTCAGTCCAGGGGGTCGAACTCTGTTTCTATTTGAGGTCGAACTCAGCACCTGGGCCTGAGGGGAGGCACGGGGGATTGGTCCGCTTTATCCCTAGTGCTACCGGCCGTCCCCTGGCCGGTATCCTGCAGGCTCGAAGGGCCGTAAAAACACGGCTCTCGTATGCTACGGGTTTCCGCGTATGCCTATAGGTAGGAGTAGTGGTAGGTAGTGTGAGGAAAAATTGAGAGAAGGGAAAAAAAAAAAAGAAAAAAAAAATAGCAAGAGTATATCGAGAGCTAATAGCCACAGACACGTGGTGGGAACATCAGATCCACTCATACACCAGGGAAAAGCATGAAGAAGAAGGGGAGGGGAAGAGGAATAGCAAGGAAGAAAGATCCCACTGGCAAAGAGGATTGGAAGAAATATCCGAATCTGGACGTGTTCCACGCAGAGGGGCAGAAAAGTAGATCAATCACAATTTTTCGCACCTGTCCACAAGCACGTCCAGATTCGGACATTTCTTCCAATCTTCTTTGCCAGTGGGATCTGGTCCTAAGTCGCGGCTTGAAGGACAACTCTGACCAAGAGAAAAAAAACTTATATCAGACCTAACCTGTTCAACGAAGACACAGCTGAACACCCAACAAGACGTACTCGAAGCAATTATACCATCCATCTCAACAGCTATTACTTCCACAGAACGACGCGACACGTCTATTACCTGTCTCTTATACACATCTAGATGTGTATAAGAGACAGGAGAGAGAGAGAGAGAGAGAGAGAGAGAGAGAGAGAGAGAGAGAGAGAGGAGGGGATGGTAGAAATGAAGGCGAAGAGGAGAAGTACAGGGTACTTGACAATAACGGTGTTGTCGGCGAAGGGGTTGAAAGATGTAAGGCATTTTGGAGGGTTGATGGGAACGTACGTCACGGTACGTTTGAGTGGGAAGCATCTTCAAGCGACGAGGAAAGTGACAAGTGGCGGGGGGTCTCCGAAATGGCACGAGCCTTTTGACTTCAAGCTGGAAGGGTGGAAGGAGTCTATGAGGCCCCCTTCATGGCTGCTGGACGCTGACGATCAATCTGGCAAGTTCTTGGTGGAGATCATTCATGCCGGATTGTTAGGTCAGCGCGTGGTGGGTCGTCGATTAGTCAACGAAGAAGATGCAGTGGACCTTGCCCAGAAGGGTTTCACTTATCACAGCTTCGGTCTTCACGGACCGAATGGAGAAGACGTTGACGGATATGTCAATCTCCGACTCGAATTCCGTCCAATTGAGCGGGCGAAAGGAGGAGCAGGAGCGGGGAAGGCAGTCGGAGAAGGGGCGGGGGGGGTAGCAGAGAAGAAGAGCGGGGTTGTGGCAGCGGAGCACAAGTCCGCCGCGGAGAGCGCGCCTTCCAAGCAGGTGTCGCCCTGCGGGACCCCGCTGGCCTCCGCCGCGGGGCTGTGGAATGCCAACAACAACTACAACAAGGAGTCGACCGCATATGTGACGAGGAACAGTGGCGGCTCGTGGGACGACGGAGAGAAGAAGGGGAATGGAAGGAAGGGAGAGCGTAGGAGCAGGGAAGCTGGTGAGATCCCGTTCAGTGGGGGTTGGGAGATGGAAGGAGGAGGAATGGGAGTAGGAGTGGTAGGAGGAGGAGGAGGTGGAGGTGGTTTGCGCAGCAACGGGAGAGGAGCTGCCGTGGGCAAGGGTAGCTTCGCGGGGGTCATCAACAACGGCAGCGGTCATTCGATCGGGATGGCGGCGAATGGTCGAAGGTTCAAGGCCCCCCGAGTTCACAGCTCTACTCTTCCTTTTCAGCACCCCAAGCAAGTGCATCCGGACATGGAACCCCGACCCGATAGTTCAAACACTACCGACGAGGTAGGTGCGGCGGCGGCGACTTCTGCGCAGTTGGCTTATCCGGATCCCGGCTCTACGGGTAAACCGTCGGACGGCCTGGATCTCGGCTGGCCAATGAGGAAAGTAGTGTCTTCGTTGGCTTTGAAACACGCGGGGTTGACCGTGGCGGATGCGGAGCTGCCGTCGCCGTCACCGGTGTCGGGGCAAATCCCCTTTTCTTGTCCTTCCCCCCTATCTCCTCCTGCTCATTGTGCTGTGAACACTCCGAGAGGGCCGAAGAACCATGCTTCGCTCCCCCGCGTCCTTAGCCATTCCTCTCCCAGTTCGGATGACTATGATTTTGACCCCCGAACGTATTACGTTGCCATGCCATCAAATGGACAGATACCGCCTCCTCTTTATGTCTCTAGATACGCGTATAGTGAACCCCTGGAGACGGTGGAGGATGGTGGTCTCGAGCGTCCGCAGTCTAGTGGCAGGAGGCACTCGACGGGGGGGGGAGCGGGAGAGGGAGGAGTAGGAGGAGGAGGAGGAGGAGGTAGTCGCCCTGGGACACGTCGTACTCTTAGCCTCTCTCGACCAAGCGGCCTCTTTTCTTCGTCGCTGCCTGAGCGCCGCCAGCAGCAGGCTGCTCCTCCATTTGTCAACCCTTCTGCTGATTCCTCGTTTTCGTTCGATCCTCCCAATTCCAATTCGCAAACGAATAAGATGGCTAGTGGGGGGGAAGGGGGGGGGTACTTTGAAGATGTCGAGGCGGAGGATTGCCCGGAGATGGGAACGACGCGGGAGTATGTTGGACCTGATAGTAATCCTGGAGAGCGATATGAGAGCGAGTATGGGGAGGGGGAGTGGGGAGATGACGTGACATCCTTCGAGGCGTACGCGTATGATAACGAGAACGATGAGAATGCTTTCGGCGGAGAAGGGCAGCCGCACAGTTTTGCGGGAACGACCGCCCGGCGGACCGGTCGCGGGAGCTTTTGCGATCTAGACCGCAACGACGTACTGACGTCGAGATCTGGACCGCTCTTGACTACCACCAACAAGATGGCTGACTTTGGCAAAAGACGTTCCAGGTCCATCAAGGAGTGCGGGTACCGGGGCACAACTCCTGTCAAAACGCGCTCGGCTATGGCCTCGGCGGTAGCGACGATAATTCGCCTCTGGCGTCCCTCGAGTGTCAAGAGTGGAGGAGGAGGAAAGGTATTGGCGAGATAGCTGGATTGATTGATTGATTGATTGATTGATTGGTTGATTGATTGATTGATTGGTCGGCGTATTGCATTGATTGATTTAATCTATTGACTTTTCATGGACGGAAGACGAAAGAAAAGGTCTGTTGCAATTGTGAGATATAGATGCGCACAGCCAGCGAGCGAGCGAGAGAGCGAGAGCGAGAGGGGGAGAGAGAGAGAGAGAGAGAGAGAATGCGTGCAACGGAAGGTGGAGCTGTCTGCGGGCAGAGTATGGTTGATTGATTAGAGAGGGACACAGAAAGAGAGGAGAATGAAGGAGGAGACGAATGGACAGGGGTAAGAGGAAGTGGTGAGTGGTCAGTGAAACGATGAGGAAGGAGTTCTCTCGCGATACTCCACACAGGCTCTCTCTCTCTCTTCTCTCTCTCTATCTCCCTTCTCTCTCTCTGTCTCTCTCCTCTCTCTTGTTTCTCTGTTTTTCTGAAGAAGAAATTACAGGGCGTGTTTGATATTGCTCCTTTTTATCGTCTCGATTCGATTTTCTTCTCTTCTTGCTGGGGAAGTTTGCCCCTTTGCGGCGCCGGGAGTTTATAGTGCGCTCGAGCTCGAGTTTGCTCTTGATTCTCTGTGAACACGACACTACTCCGAGCGTGTCGCGATCGGTATTGCTTCGAAATTACGGCTATCACGATCCCGACAGCGTATGTTTAGTCTTGCGAATTCAATTCGAATTTAAGTCTTGGGACCCCGTGTGTTAGTCCATCCAGTCTTTTTCATCTTTTCCTCTCGGTTTGTCGATTGAGAGAGAGAGAGAGAGGGAGGAGAGAGGGTAGTACGCCTAGTGGCAGTCTTCTTTTCCGAGGCGGCGGCTGTACAAGTACATCAACAGCCGTGAAAGATAGTATCGCACATTTACTTATATCCCGACTTGTAAACCCTTTTCTCGAGTACCCGGTGGGTTCTCCCGATGGGTTCTCCCATTATTGACGTATAATGCGTTTAGATGACGCTTTCTGAATCATGAGGAGGAGGAGGAGAGAGACTGTCCGTTGTGCGGTCTGGTATATGATGGTTATGTCTCTGTATGTGTGTGTGAGAGAGAGAGAGAGAGAGAGAGAGAGAGGGAGAGGAGGTTGGTGTAGACCGGAGAGACGAACGCTCTGTGAAGCAATGCGGCGAGTATGAAAGAGTAGTAACAGTGGTGCATCGTAGTTGCAGAGAGAACGAGTGGCAGAGGTGGTTGTGCTTGTGATAGGGATACTGCTTCCTCACAGTCTATTATTTGAGCGGATGGCTGAGGTTCAAATTGGCATGTTGGGGATGTCCATCTTGATATGGCTGAGGGTGTTTTGCCTATTTGACGAACTGATGCATGGTCGTGTCGTATTTTGCTTTGAAGGGAGCGTTGCGTAACTACGGAATAGATATCGAAGAGAGAAGAGGAGATTTGGAGTAGGAGTAGCCATATTATATTTGATATGAAGAGCGAGGAAGGTGGTTTTCTGGATGTTTTAGGGCTCTTTTGCGTCTCTCATCAGTATCGTCAGCCGGTTCGAGAAGAAGAGAGCAAGGTACACATTGTGCCTATATAGCTCTGTATTTGGGCCAACTTTCAGTTCAAATACCGCCAATTTGCTGCTAGAGACCCTCGATGTCTCTAGCTGATGTTGCCAACTATATCTAGTCTTGTGTTCCTGATGAAGACTCGATGTATTTGGGCCGATTTCAGTCTAAATACAGTAATCTGCAAGAGACTCTCGATGTCTCTGTAGCAGAGATGTTGCCAACTTCCTTATGAAGACTCGCGATGTATTTGGGCCAACTTTCAGTCTAAATTCAGCAGCAGTCTGCTAGAGACTCTGGATGTCTCGAGAAGACGGATGTTGACCGACTCCAGCATGTATCTGTTCTCATCGGATCTCTCTGCTATATGAACTCTCGATGATCTCTCTGCGAGAATTCGCTCAAGTTTCCCCCTTCTCGCCTATTCGCCTGAACGGAATACCCAGCGGCTCTTGCTGAAGCGTTCCTCGCTTTTCGCTGAACCTATCGCTGCGATTTCTGCTGGTGCTGCTGCTGTATTTTTTTCTGGTGATTGCTAGCGCGGCCTTTTCGCTGAGTTTCTGCCCAATTTGCGGTGAACTTTCCGTCAATCGTCGGCTGAACTCTCGGTGTGTCTCTCTCTTCAGTCCCCCTCTCTCGGTTGGCTATCTCTCTCTCTCTCTCTTTCTCTGTGTACCCATCCCCTTACCGAGTCCATGTACCGGTGGCAGCTATTGTTATGATACGAGTTCTCTTCGCTCTCTGTCTCTGATACGAGTTCTTCGCTATGTCTTTAGACTTCCTAATCTCTGGAGTCTTAAGTCTTCTACGGATGGAAGAGTGGTGGCTTTCCGTCTGTATTGAATACATTCTTTATTCGGGCTTTACCGAATACTACACTGTTTGCGTGTAGTGCTGAATCATTATGGGTAGTCGAGAAGAGAAAGGTGGATTATGGGTAGTCAAGAAGAAAAAGGTGGATGAAGGATGAGTAGTCTTCCTTGGCCACTAACTTAGGGATGGTGCTCACGGATTGATCAGAACTCTGGCTCAATCCCTCTCCCGCTCTTTTCTTTCTATCTTCGCTCACTCCCATTCTCTCTCTCTCTCACATTCCCTCTCTCTCTATCTCATTCTCTCTCTCTCATTCTCTCTCTCTCTCATTCTCTCTTTTCTTCTTGTGCTACTTGACTAGGTTCGCTGTATAGTGCCACAGTTGTTGTCTTTCCCCCCCTCCCCCCCACTAGGGGAAGGAGTTCCCAGCTTCACGTTCTTGTTCGACTCGGACGACTGTGTACGTACACATGGCACGACTCGCGTATGCACTTCTGTCTCGTTCTCTCTCTCTCTCTTATTTGTCCGTGTTACTCTCGCTCTCGACGGACGGAGTTGAGGCTGCTGAGATCTTCTTCTCTTCTCGTTTAGGTGAAGTGAAGGTGCAATCAAATAGGAGGATAGCAGGATGTAGTGATGAGAAAGATAAGATGACAACAAGCATGCATGCGTCCAGTCTATCCTCTCTTTCCCAGGGGATGAAGAGGATGAAAACGACTCTCTCTCTCTCTCTCCGTGTGTCAGAACAGCCCCTAAGTGACGAGGTCAAAATACGACCGAACGTTTCCATGTGGAATTCGACTCTCTCTCTGTGGAATTCGAGTTATACCAGCCAAGAGGATGAAGAGGATGAAAACGACTCTCTCTCTGTGGAATTCGAGTTATACCAGCCAAGTGAAAGGTCCACTTGGCTATTTCCGCTGCTGGGGATAGTAAAGAGAGGAGGGTATGCATGCATCGATGTGCTGCTGCTTTCCGCTGGGTTGTAAAAGGAAACACGGACCGCAGCACCTTTTGCCCTACACGTCCTTAGCTCCTCGCGCTGGCGGGAAAAAGACCAATTGGACGGTGCTCTCTGCTTCTTTCGTCTAGCGGGGAAAACGGGAAACAACCTACACGTCAGTACTTTTCGCTGGCGAGAAAGCGATCAATTGGACACTAGTGCTGTGCTTCTCTCCTTTGGCGTGAAAACTGGGAACCTACACGTCAGTACTCTCCGCTGGCGAGAGACCTACCAACGAACACTGCCGTGCTTCTTTCCTTTGACGGGAAAACAAGGTTGCTTCTTTTATTTGGCGGGAAAGCAAGGTATGGTCGTTTCCTTTGGCGGGAATACAAGGATGCGTCTTTCCTTCGGCGGGAAAACAAGGATGCTTTTTCCTTTGGCGGGAAAGCAAGGTTGCTTCTTTCCTTTGGCGGGAAAGCATGGTTGCTTCTTTCCTTTGGCGGGAAAACAAGGTTGATTCTTTCTTTTGGCGGGAAAACAAGGAGGCAACGTATGGATGGGACGGTAGATCGAAGGTTATCGCCCACTTTACGCGTCTTGTGGGTGGGCATGTTTTGCCGATGGAGCTCAGTGAGCGACCGACGAAGGAAAGACACGGACGAGGATTTTGAGCGCATACACTCACACCAGCTGAGGAATCTGACCCCCTATAACCCCTATTACGGCCAGATTCAGTCCACGGGGGTCAGTCCTGCGTGAGTATCGTCATCGAGTGCGTAGTGCGCTCGACCAATTCGTGTGTGCAAAGTGCTCACGTATTTGCTGCGCTCTGTATGAATGGACTAGTCTTCGTCTCTTGGTGGGGGAGGGCGAGTCTCTCTATCTCTCTCTGCGTATCCAGCTAACGGATGGGCGGATGGCTTGGAATCGATCTTCTCCTGACGGAACGGAACGGCACGGAACGGCATGCGGGTCTATGGTCAGCAGGAGAGAGGGTTGGTTGGGCGGACGAGGTTCATTGGCTGGCTGCGTAATTACTAATTCTTGTGTTTGCTGGTGAGGACATTGTTTCACGTACACGGTGTGAAACGCGTACGAACTCATTTTCTTTAGTCCGTTTTATATTGTGTGTGCCCAACTTATTGTCCATCCTGAACCTGCGCCTCAAGCTGTACCTGTGGTTCAATCTGTACCTGCGGTTCAGCCTGTCGTCCAACCTGTGGTTCAAGCTGTTAGCGGGGGGAGCAGCACCTGATGATGAAGTGTTAGCGGGGGGAGCAGCACCCTGATGATAAAGACAAGACCTGGTTGTAGTAATATTTGCGAAAGCGCAAGGCGATGGGAGGATCTGTACGCGAACCTGGTTCAGACGGGAGGGAGGCGACGGACATTCTCTTGTTTATTTCTGGAAATCAAGAGTGAAAATCCTTGAGACCCGACGTCCGAAAGACGAGCTGGAAGCCATGGGTATCCCCTCTTCCTTCCTTCTGGAAATGAAGCGAGCAACTCTTTTGGCGATGGCGTTCAACAGACAAGAGAGAGAAGTATGTGGTCCCGGCGTTGGATTGGAAAGCCACAGGACGTCGATCAGCAACCAGAGACTTCGATTGGGTTTCTGGGAGAGGGAGGAGTGAGCTCTTAAGTGCATGTGAACCTGGTAGGCAAGGAAGGACGAGGGCATGGATTTGTATGGACCTTGGTGTCCGAGAGGATCTCTGCACTGGCACCAGCTTGAGCCTGGGGTCCCGTTGATACCGGAATGGGGTCTCGTTTGCCATCGAGGGCCTAGTTGCACCTCTCGCCTTTCGGCATGTTTTCTTACAATGCATCTGGACCATATGATGTCCAGATGCCATTGTGCTCAACTTTGGCCTATAGCGATTGGTGCACAACTATAGACACCCTCCTGTGTGCTCTCTGTACTTAGTCGGAATCTGCAGTGTCGGAGCCCGTCTGTCTGTAATTAACGCGTAGTGTGTTCTCCGGTCTGTTCAACTTATTTCGCACGAGTTAAGTAATAAACGGGGGGAAGCGTTCATGCTTGAGGTCATTTGACAGCTGCTGCCTCTTTCCCTCTCTCTGTCACCATTCATTTGTTGCTGTCAAGAGAGAGAGATTGGTTGGTCGAATCACGGCGGCAGTGTGGAGGAGGCTCTTCTTCCATGTGTTTTTCAGGTTCGCGGGCGGCTCCGTACGGCTCGCGCGGTATTGCGCGCGACTGCAGAGCCATTTGCGGACCAAAACGTATTGGAGGGAAAAGTTGAGGAGGGGGGGAGGGGAGGGGAGGGGAGGATTTACAGTAGAA